AGGGGGGGAGAGGGGCAGGAGGAGCTCGACTCCCCGCCCCCTCCCTCCCCCCGCTATCCTCGCCCCGCTGTTTGGGGGTCCCCTCCCTGGAGGAGGCCCCCAGCAGAACCCCGCATCTCCTGTCGGCGGCCCTCTCGGCCAGCCGAATGACCTCTTCCCTGAGACCACTCGGCCACGCCAGGGGGGCCGCCGACTTCCCCACCTCCCGCGGAGTGTATCTCGCTCCATACAAACGACGAGGTGTAACGAAACAAGGAAGGAAAAAAAACGTCAAAAAAGCATTAAAAATGCCTGCGGGTGTAACAATGAACGTGCAATTGGATCAAATAGCAAGATGTGTGCACATACCGTACTTTAGAGGCGTCTTTATGCGAAACGTGTTACCGATAAGCGGAGTACGACGAAACGAGAGCGGTATCGTCAATCTGGACAACGCGGCGGGACCCGGCACTCACTGGGTAGCGTGCGCGAAGAGGGGAAACTGTGTGGTATATTTCGACAGTTTTGGTAATCTCCGGCCGCCTAAAGAATTGGTGAGGTATTTCGGAGATGATGCAACGACTGTGTATAATCGAACATCCCATCAGTTCCCAACCTACGATTAGAGCATCTGCGGACAGCTGTGTCTACGATTTCTCCAAACGGTCGACGACTGACGCGTGTGAATTTAAAAGCTCGACGAGGCGTCGCGAGGAGTCAGTATTCGCTGAACGGCTTTTCATCCACCATGTCGCTAACACTCACGCTGACGGGAAAGAGCAGCATGCTCGCTGTAAACTATTTTCTAGCCATAGACCTGAGCGACGACGATTACGAGCTCGGTCTGAACTTTGAGACTTACAATACGATATCGAATGTGAATGCTTCGAATAATAAATTTTACTATGACGACGCGGAAATTACAATTCCCGAAGGATCGTATGAATTGCAGGCCATAAATGAATTTTTGAAACGCGCACTTTCATGGAAACGTCCACGTCGGTTCCTAGCTAATGATGGCAGTGAAAAACGCGACGACGGTGATGACGAAGACGATGAATACCCAATTGTGCTCCGCGCTAATTACAACACGATGAGAAGTGAGATCAAATGCGCCTTCGGAATAAACCTTAGCAAGCCCAACAACATTGGATCGCTACTGGGATTCTCATCGACGCGTATACTGCAACCGCGAAAGTGGCATGAATCAGACCTGCCGATCAACATTACCAATGTGAACATTATCCGCGTAGAGTGCAACGTGACCGCGGGTGCGTACAGCAACAGCAAGCCTGTGCACACGATACACGAATTTTCGCCAAACGTGTCACCAGGATATAAGATATCGGAAACGCCGATGCAGATCATTTACCTGCCAATCATCACACGGAGCATTACCGATTTAACGGTACGCGTTGTGGATCAGAACAGTCAATTGCTCGAATTTCGCGGAGAAGAAATCACCCTCAGATTGCACGTACGCCGACGACAGCGATAACGCGCGGGAGTGTGCATGAGATGCTCGTGCTAAACGGATCGGAGCAAATTGTAAAAGATACCACCAAGCCTGCGACATCGAGATTCGGTGATATCCAGTCGTCTGGTTTTTGCAAGAAGAAGAAGAAGCTCAACGCATCGAACGTGGAATTTTTAACATCTTTGGGATTCGCAGTGCGCAAACAATGATTGACATTCTCAATATCAACGAAGAGCCAATCTTCGACGAGCGCATCGTCAAGATTGAGACTCACTCGTACAATCCGTTTGCCAACACTACATTCGGACACAGCGATGAGATAAGAATACCTATACAACAACAGGATCTCTATACGTTGCCACACGAAAGTTTTCTGTACATCGAGGGAAAACTAACTACTGCCAAACAAATCGAAGGACCTGAGTACTGGGAAATAATTATGTCGCGTTCATGTTCGACGAGATCCCATATGAACTTGATGGTGTGGAGATTGATCGTGTCAGAAATGTTGGAATAACCAGCACGCTCAAGACCTATGTCTCGTCATCGTTCGATAAAATGATGTCTCTGAAGAATGCCGGCTGGGACGTGGTGAACAATAGAACCGGAGACTTTAATTTTTGTGTGCCGCTCAGCATGCTATTGGGATTCTGTGAAGATTATGAACGCGTGGTGATTAACGCCCGTCACGAATTGATTTTAATACGATCGTGCAATGATAACAACTGTCTCTTTGGAAATGCAGCGATGGAGCCTAAACTTGAAATATTCAAGATACAGTGGCGCATGCCGCATGTGTTGTTAAACGAGGCGAACAAACTGCGTGCTTTGGAAAGCGGACAATACCTCAATATGGGATTTCGTTCATGGGATCTGTACGAGTATCCGCTATTGCAACAGACGACTAAACATTCATGGGCTATTAAAACGGCTACTCAGCTCGAGAAGCCGCGGTATCTTATCTTTGCTCTGCAAACAGGTCGGAAGAATATCATGTCACAGAATGTGAGCCAATTCAGTCACTGCAAATTGAGCAACGTAAAACTCTACCTGAATTCGGAATGTTATCCATACGATGATATTAATCTGGATTTTGATAAAAACAAATGGTCGAGTCTGTATGATACGTTTTCGCGGTTCCGGAAGAGCTATTTCGGAAACGAGGTTCTTATGCCCGGTCTCACTACCGACAATTTTCTAGAACAAGGACCGTTTGTCATTATCGATTGCTCCTGACAAAACGAGTCGGTCAAGAGCGCGACTGTGGACGTGAGATTGGAATATGAATGTAAGGAGAATGTGCCAGTGAATACCACTGCGTACTGTCTCATCATACATGATCGTGTGGTTCAGTACAACCCGCTGACCAGCGTCGTGCGCAAAATTCCCTAAGTACTACATTTTGGACACAATGGTTTCCCCTCTTTCCAATACAGTTTAGAGGGGATGAAACGATTTAAAATCTACTATGCATCAAGAGCAACCGCAGTATTCCTCCTTCTCTCGACGTGTTGAATCATGTCCATACCGACGTTTGTGGACCTGCAAGGCTTCGTCGTCAGCGGTAACTTTGTTGTGAAGGAATTTGCCGCTCCCCGAGAGGGACGCGTTCTCTCTCACTACATTTTCACATGTCCCGTACCATGGAGGCTTCTCACCAAAGCGGAGCAATATCAGGCATCCTGGTTGATTGCAAATCGTCATGGAGTACGATGGGAAGACGGAATGATTCCATACAGCAGGGCTAGAAGTCTGATTACAACGGCTGTGGTCGGCATGGAAGATGATGACGATCTTGAGACACCGTTTCTCGTCTACATCAAGGGACACGAAATACGAGAATGGCTGAAGGATATGCTCTTGGATGATGCGAGAGGAGATGTCTATATTGAAACTATTGATGTAGACTACGAGGACATACCATCTCTAAATAAATTGGATGTTACACATACTTTTCACTGCCAGAAACATGTAAGAAATTGCGCTTTACAAAATGTTTTTAAACTTTACAATTGGTGGTCTAACCATAAAAATATGTAACAACATGTGTTAAGAAGTGTATTCATTGCTGTAAGCAAAATAAATATATATTATATATTGAGACGATGTCTATTTTTTTGCCGCTCGTATTCCCTTCTCTCTCTCTCTCCCTGTTCGCATCCTCTCCCTCGCATATAGCCCTACGTTGTCGCTCTTCTTCTTATTAACTACTTGGGAAGGGAAGATAGAATGGATTGGAAGTAGAAGAAAATGTATGTCATTAAAAAATTTTAATCTCATTTTATTATCTCAATTTATCAAAATGCATCACCCCGTTTATGGGCTTCGGCAAGAATTTCTTTTACGGCATAAGCTATTAATTCGCACTTTTCGATCGAAATAAATTCACAATTTTCGGTTGAATTTTTATAGTACTTGTCGTGTAGGATTCGAACTGCATCGTTCGGTGTATCGCATTTTTTTTCGCCACTCATCCACATATCTTGTACATGCACAACGAGTTCTTCGAAGCTTTCATGTACAGTTTCTAGATCCGCATACAGTTGAAAATATATGCAGTCTACACAGTGTTCCAGTTCAAATAAAAATGATATGGTTGATGGTTTCATGTACATAGAAATATTATTTGATGTTACTTTTACAATATTTCCGTGGCGCGCTCTAACTAGTTCTATAGCTAAATGATTAAGCTGTATCGCTGACGATGACGCATCTGTTGCCTTTAGCAGCTGGTCTATTTTTGATTGATTATTTCTGTATTCTTTCCAAATTGATTGATCTAACTCCATCTGATGTCCTTGATTATCGCCGAGAATTATTTCTACGTAGGATGCACGAGGTACTACTCTGATCCCAATATCTATGTATTTGAATGCTGTAGATGTCAGCGGTAACCTTCTGCACATGATACGCGGCGGGTTATGAGATTCATCATCAGAACTGAAAGAATGTATAAAGTAAAATAAATACAATTATATGTGTAAAAAATGTGTGCAAATATGCAGTAGCTTTATAGTACTCACACGTCACCACACTGTTTCTTGCACGATACAGTTTCATCTTGAGGAACGGATGGTGTATAACTGCTTCGATGAACATACGGTGTGTAATGACGATTGTTAAAACTGTTTGAAAAATACAATTAAATGTGGAAAATGGTAAAGGTAAATATACGATAACTTTGTAGTACTTACACGCTACGCTGTTTCTTGGTGGATGACATTTCCTGAGGAGTGTAATAATTCATTCTTGCTAAGGAAATCTTAAGGCCTATCAGGACACGAAGAAACTGGATGATAAATACGAACTTCTTGTCTAACGATGTGTTCGTGGGTCCCAACGTATTCTTAGTTCTCGATCTCGTAAAAAATCTCCTACTGTGGTACAGCGGGCTTCCGGACCGTTTATATACCATAAAAAGTCGCTGTCAGCAGCCAGGTTTCGGCATTTGATCTCATACCATGAAAAAATAATATTAATACGTGTAGCTGTGGTATCGGTGCTAATCAAAGGCATCATCGGTGATATCTATTACATGCTGACGCAGTAGGTGTGAGTTTAAACGCGGAACTTCCCCGAAATCACGCACCTAGACAAGAAAGTCGCTGTCAGCAGCCAGGTTTAGGCGCTTGACCTCATGACTCATGCCATGGATGCGCGCAGCTGTGTGTCTGCGCTAATCATTTGTATATCGTCATCTTCGGGTGATATCTATTACATGCATGTGCCGCGGATTGCCTCGCGCCGCGGACCCCCCCGCGCCGCGGATCGCGTAGCGCCGCGGTTCTCTCCGCGCCACCGCATCGCGGATCGCCGCAGAATATCTCCTTCCCCGCGCCCCGCGGATCGCCAAGCGTCGTGGAATAATAAACGTGGAACTCCTCGACATCGTTCACCTTGATAAGAAAGTCACTGTCAGCAGCCAGGTTTCGGCGCTTGACCCCGTGACTCATAAGAATACCCGTCCAGGTGTTCGCGCTAAAAAGTATCGAAACGAATGACAGGTCAGCACCTAGATATCTGTTACATGTCACGTAGTGACAGGTCAGCACCTTGCGTGACGTCAAGGTCGCGTACTTCTCTCCTCCCGCGGTCCCCTCGCCACGGAGTACCCCCCCCCGCCCCGCTCCCCTTTTGGAGCTCCATGGGTTAGAATTCCCCTATATACCCTACTTTCATACTTTTGAAATATATAAAAAACGAAAACTGCATTTTTTAAACTTTCTAGGTGTCTATAACCCCTTCAGTTTTCACATAAATCCGGTAATTTTTCGCATGCTTTGCTGGCTATTATCGCAGAAGAATGGCAAATTCATTTTAATAAAAGTACACCCGGTGTCTCTAATTGTAAACGCGAAAAAACGAGTTATTGGCACCAATCATCACTGATGCATTATCGCATGCCATTCCGACAATATTTTTAATAGAAATATAATATCTTTATTTTTTAAAACATCTTTAAATTTCTCAAAAATTGCACTTGCACCGCAATTTTTAGCATCTAATGCAATTAATTCTAATAATTGAGTTTTGACCATTTTTTCTGTCTGCACCCAAAATTGAACAAGAAGGTATATAATCTTTGTATCCGAAATATCCGTGCTTTCATCTACTAAAATAGAGAATTTACAGTTTTTCAAATATTGTACTGATTTTTCAATTTCACGTTTAGCGATAACATTTTTAATAATAGAAGTACATTTAGATCGAGCAAGAGAAATATTGCAATTTCAGAATCTATAAAAATACTTTGTAATAAAGGAGTCAAGTGATATGCAGTACAAAGAGCAACATTATGCTCTGCAAAAAATACTGCTAGTTCTATTTCAGCATATTTCACTTGATCGCTATAAGACTTTATTAAAGAATTATTATTATAGTTATTGTTGTTATTGTTGAGGCTTTCATCTTTATTAACCATATCTTGGTGCTTGGTGCTTTGCGAATGGCGCACTATATCTGTTCTGCAACATCTGATAGTACTATTGCACAAAATGCATAAAACTTTATCAGTTGTATGAGGGACCAACTATCCTTTAAAATTATCCTCATGAAGCCAACTGTTTCTAAAATTACGGGTATGCTTTTTAATAGCCCCTTTCTGGCTATCTGTATCCATATTAAATTACTAATAAAAAAAACTACGTACATAACACCTAGTACTGGCTCTGCTTGCACTATCTATTGCACTATCTATTGCACTATGTAGCTCAAATTAATAGTAAATTATACTTTCCTAATCCAGCTTACCTAACCTACTCGCCCTGGATCCCGCCAAAATCTTTAGCGCTCATTCTATACATGTCGTGTTACGATCCCAGAATCACCGCTGGCAGTGCGCATGCGCCAGAAAGCGGCCCTGATAGCAACACTGCGTAGAATACGGTATGGCCGACTTGTTTATGTCTCGGGTCGTCCGTCGCTCGTGCTTGCCGTCACGCTCGCCGCCCGCGATCGCTGTTTTTCTCACCGCGTTGTATCACGCGCGTCGCTCCACCTCCCGCTCATCGATCGATTATCTTACATGGCTTCCAAGTCCGGCCTACCGTATTCTACGTCCTCATTCGCCCAGATGTATCAGTTAATTACTCGATAACTATTGCGAATTTTGCAACGCGGCATATGACTTTTCTTCTGAGTTTAACCCAATCTATCACCATTTTACCATTGGCGACATTTTTAACAGACATCCTGTATACCGTGTGTCCTCGGATATCCGTTTTGTGCTTTAGACGTCCGTGAACAAAGTGCCTTCAAGTCTAGACGGTATCCTATTGCTAACAACTCGGAAACCTCGTTCTTCCTCTTTATTGGAAATCCCTTTGGATACCCGACTCCTCGGGGAAGGAGCCGGGTTATGCGGTGCCGAGTTATCCCTCTAAAACCACCACGGCGGCCATCTTTTTGCGCTGTGTGGTCAGGCACCGGGAACACATCGTGTACGACCGGTGCCAGGCCGTGCTACCCTCCCCAGATCATCTGCGGGGAGGATCCATTTCTGCAGCCCACGGTGGTTGTGGGCAGCCACGGAGTCGGGGCCACACCAGACTCCGCCCTTCTCCACGGTCTGTCTTTTTTTTATGTAGGGAGGTAGAGCGCCCCCGTACTCCCTTCCCCGGCCCGTGAAGGGCTTCTTAAGAGGCCCTGATCTCTATGTGCGAGGGGGGCCAAGGATCTCGGTTGGCCCACTCCCCCTCGCGCCTGGTGGTCGGAGCGCAGTCGGCTTACTCCGGAGC